ACACACCATTTTGTTGTGGAGTATATGCGACTGTAAGTTGTCGCTCTATGCCTTCATCTTCGCAAAATTTGTCAAACTCGCAAGATGTATACTCCTTGCCACGATCACTTCTAAGTACTTTTATTTGTTTTCCACTTTGTTTTTCAACAAGGGCCTTGAATTTCTTAAATATTCCAAAGACTTCTGACTTTGTCTTCAGAAAATCCATCAACCTTAGTTGTACTGTGAATATTTATGACCCGTTTAATTGCGTTATTAACTCTGTTTTTATTTTTCAATTATAAAACTGTTATATTGTTCCTGAATTGTTTTATAACCCGCTCTATCTTGTGGTGAGGTCGAACAAATATACGCGACATCTTAAGTTTAAATATTATATTGTTATTATAATTTCTGCAGATCTTAAAAAAAAATTGTTTCATATTTTTTGTTTTAAAGATTTGTATAGAAAATAAAGAACACAAAAAAATATTTTAAGTATTTCCTGTGCAAATATTTGAAAATATAAGTTGATATTTTATGTTAAAAAATTGAAAAATAAAAAATAAAAACACGGATTTAAATTTATTTTCAGCTCGGTTTGATCTAGTTTGATTTTTATTATTATTTATCTTTTGTAATTAGTGAAACTAAAAATAATAAATTTTGTATTATATGTGTTATTAATATTCTTTCTGAGGCCAATATTTTATATACGCTAAATTTTGCTTTTAACTTCTAACACTTATTTATGGTTACAATTAATATATTTTATTTTATCTATATTTTTATATACTAGTGCTATTGTGCATTTTATTTAAATAAAAAATAAAATATAAAAAATATAAACTCAATTTAAACACTTCTAGAAAAGTATCATTTTCTTGCAAATTTTCCTGCAAAAAAATATTTGCCAAAAATAATTTACAAATATTTCTTACAAATTTTGCTACAATTTTAATGATTATAGAAATTATTTTTCATGGTAAAAATTTACAGAAAAATATTGTAAGAATTTTATTTTATTTCTTGCAGATTTTCTTGTAAAAATAAATTCGCAAGTAATGTTTACTAAATGGTAAAAAAAATTTACAAGTAACTTTTCTTGCAGATTTTCATGCAAAGTTTAATCCGCAAGAAAAATAAAATAAAAATTAAATTTATAAGTTTAATATTTTAAAAAAAACTTCAAGTCCCACGTCGATTGAAAATAAAATAATTAAAGAATATATAAGTTGGGGTAATACTTACCTTACAAGTTGATTTGTATGGTTGAGTGTTAGGCTTATAATCTACAATCTTAGAATTTAAAAGATTATGTATCACATAGAATTTATAGTAATTTCTTTAATTTTTTTCGTAAAAAATATTCCTGCAGAATTTCTTGTGAAAAAATTCACAGGAAACTTTTCTGCAATTTTGCGATTTTTTCACAAGAAATTTCACAAGAAAATTTCCTGCGAATTTTAAAATTCGTAAAAATATATTATCCACGAAGGTATTACCTACAGATAAAATTTGTAGGAACAACATTTCCTACGAATTTTTTATAAAAATTTGCAGGAAAAATCGCATGTAATAAGAGAAATTCTAGTAGTGAATACCCTATTATTGCAATTACAATTTAAAAGAAAGTTGATTGGATTTAAGCTTTTGTGTTTACACATTAATTATAACTTTATTAAAAGGAAAGTTATAGTTATTAAAAGGAAAAAAGTAACTATCCAATAATAAATACTTCATATTAATAAGATGGTTACTAGCAAATAAAATTAAAAGAGAAAGTGTAGAAATGATAAATAAGAATATTGATTAATAAATGAAAGTTTCAGTTATTAAAGAATAAATGTCTTAAAAAAGTGAAAGATGAACATTTATTACACTAAAATCATGGCTGTAATTTCACAAAAATGTTAAGTGTTGATCAGGTGGTTTATATGATTATTCTCTGCACTTCCTCATGCAAGTTATGGACAATATCATTTTTGTACAGTTGGATGCAACTGACCCTTGAAGGTTATTAACTTGTGCCATGGACCACATGAAGTGTTTGGTCATGGTCAAATGTTCTCTATTAACTATGGTTTTTTCTTTTGTCCAATTATTTTGTTAAATTTTTGTCAAGACAAATACAAATAGTGAGTAATGATGAAAACGTAAAAGTCCAAAGGATGCATCACATAAGCATAATCAATGAAGTAAATCTTACAAACTAACAGAACACCAATTGATAAAAGTAATAAAATATAATATTGAACAATGAACACTGAAATCACACACTACATCAATAAATTTGTTTTACTTTGTATAACCTCTTCTTTAATTTTTATTAATATATGAGATGTGGTTTTTTTAAAAAAAAAGAAATAAATAAACTTGTTGTCCCAAAGACAAATCTATTGTCACATATAATAAAGCAAGACACTCGTTGTCCTAGAGGCATGGGCCCCTATAGATAGGTTCAAGCTCATGATATATACACTTTTCTTTTTTTTTTAAATATAAGTACACTTCTTTTTATTTTTTTAAAAAATTATAAAATATTATAATTTTTTTAAAAATTTTTAATTTTACACCTCTAACTTTTAATTTGCTACTTTTGTCTTTTTTTTTTTATACATTTTTTTTTCTCTTTTAATTTTCACATGCTATCAAAATAGGTGAATGAAAGAAAGGTAAGAGTGTGCACATAAAAATTGAAAAAAAGAGAGAAGATGTGTAAAAAAAAAATACTAAATCAAATATTGTGAATGTAAAATTAAAAATAAAAAAATAAAAAATAAAAAATAAAAAATATTTTAGAAATTTAATTATTTTTTAAAAAAAAGGAGGTATACTTATAAAAAAAAGGAGGTGTATATATCATGAATCTAGGTTCAATG